ATCCTCTGCAAGTTCTCTGGAGCTCCCCCCATCAACTGCACCTGGCTCAAGTTCAGGAAACCAGTGGGTCTCACACACACATGATTTTTATCTTTATCTTTGTGGAATCAACACCTGATAAACTACAAATCCCAGATGTTTCAGCTGCAGTGTGTGTGTGTGTGTGTCTCTGTGTGTGTGTATGTTCAGATCCAGGAGGGCTCGACCGACATCTCCATTGACAGCGGTGACGGCAGCACTAAACTGACCATCTCCAGCGGACAGCAGGAACACTGCGGCTGTTACACCATTGAGCTGAGGAACAGCTATGGCCTTCGACAGGCCGCCCTCAACCTCACCATCGTCGGTAAGTTGTTATCACTTGTTATCAGCGGTTATTAATGATTATTATCGATCGACATAATGTTATTAATGGTTAAAACCCCCTCAGATAAACCTGACCCTCCAGCGAAGGTCCCGGCGACCTCAGATATCCGGCGGTCCAGTCTGACCCTGTCGTGGTACGGGCCGACCTACGACGGCGGCAGCGCCGTTCAATCGTACAACCTGGAGATCTGGGATTCTGTGGAGCAGCAGTGGAAACACCTGGTGTCGTGTAACAGCACCTCCTACAACATCCAGGTGTGCAGCTGCTTTTACTCAACGTCACATTGTTGGTGAGGAAATATAATGTTTAAATAAAGTTTAGATAAAGTTTGTGTCATCTCCAGAACCTTCTTCCGGAGCGTCAATATAAGTTTCGTATTCGGGCGGAAAACATTTATGGAGTCGGCGAGCCGAGCGCAGAGTCCGAGCCCGTCACGGTCGGACTTGTGGACGACGGTCAGTAAAGTACACAAAGTAAAAATTAGGTTAAGCTAACAGCTGAGCTCGAGTCATTTGACTAAACTAACACTGCTGCTGTGTGATTGGACTGACAGAGAACCAGGACGAGGCGGAGGACGAGGATGAAGGTACCACTTCCTGTTTCCATTCACTCCTGATTAACATGGACACAATGCTGCTCAAACACGACACAACGAAAACATCACTATCACATGACATCATAACTTTAGATCACATGAAATGATGTCACACAAACTCAGAGAACCAATCGCAAGATGAAATTACCTCAGGTCACGTGACACGACAGTATCGTTGACCTCTGACCTCCGTGTGTGCTCAGACTCGGAGAAGGAGCCAGACTACAGAGACGTTAGCATCCGAACGGACGTGAAGGTGAAGGAGTTGTACGACGTGGAGGAGAGGCTGGGAACGTAAGGCTCCGCCCACTCACTCCTCACCCACAATGCAGCTGTTTCTATAAAAAACTATAACAGCAGCTTTAACCTGTTTTTTAAAATGTGTAAAAGGAAAAGTTTGGTTCATGCTCACGCAGGAGAACCTGTCGCTGGTTTAAACTTTGTGTCGTGATGACATCACTACTGTTTGTGTTTTAGGGGAAAGTTTGGTCAAGTCTTCAAATTGGTAGAAAAAGCCACGAGGAAGGTTTGGGCAGGAAAGTTCATCAAAGCTTATTCAGCGAAGGACAAGGAGAACGTCCGGCAGGAGATCGGCATCATGAACAGCCTCCATCACCCCAAACTGGTCCAGTGTATCGACGCCTTCGAGGGCAAGTCCGACATCGTCATGGTGCTAGAGATGTACGTAGAGTTTTCTAAACATTCGTACTCACATTGATCTGTTGTTTGATTGATGTTCAGAGAAATAAGAATAAGAATGTCTTTATTGTTATTAAACAGGGTCTACAATGAAATCATAGAGCCACGCCTTCACACAAACATACGTGTACAAAAACACAAAAAAATAAAAAACCACATAGATCTGCTCATATTTTAGTTTCTGACAAAGACTGTGATCAAAGTAACACTGACGATGTCTCTGATGTGTTTCTTCTTTACTATTTGAGATGTTTTACTTTTGGAGATTTCTCTTTAAATGCTTATTCATTAGACTGATACAGGTCTGTGAGGTTTCTTTTTAATCTCGTCCACTCGGGTGCGTACGTATGTAGGATCTCTGGAGGTGAGTTGTTCGAGCGGATCATCGACGAGGACTTTGAGCTGACGGAGCGGGAGGTGATTAAATACATGCTGCAGATCATCGATGGAGTCAACTTCATCCACAAACAAGGCATCGTCCACCTCGACCTCAAACCTGAGAACATCATGTGTGTCAACAAAACCGGCAGCAAAATCAAACTCATCGACTTCGGCCTCGCCAGACGACTAGGTACCAACTTCCTGTCTCTTTGTGATTCATCAAATAATATTGGTCTCATTGTTTTCCATCGTCGTCTGACTGCGATTTAAAAAGATCAATATCTTTGTTGATTTACAACAAATTGAAGAAACTTAGATGAAGTTTGAATTAAATACTGAAAGTGATTGAACATGTTGCTGAACCTGATGAAGACATTTCATCTTTGACACTTTTTGTGTCGTGGACAGAAAATGCTGGAACTCTGAAGGTTCTGTTTGGGACCCCGGAGTTCGTTGCCCCTGAGGTAATCAACTATGAAGCCATCAGTTATCCCACCGACATGTGGAGTATAGGGGTCATCTGTTACATACTGTGAGTACTGTACTGATGCTAGCAGCATCACTCTATTTCACTCACCTCCATGTTGTTAGCTTAGCCTCACTTTAGTTTTGCTTCTTTACCTTAACTTAATTTTATTTAATAAACGTTAGCTTAGCTTATCTTTTGTTGGATTTATTTAGCTTGCTTCTTTTTCTTTAGTTCTCTTTACTTAAACATTGTTATCTGTTCTTTGTGTTATTTTTGCCTCTGATTGGCTTACTCTGAGTAGTATTAGCCAATCAGAGGCGTGAAAGAACCAGTTGGGATCAGTTTGCCCTGTGTTTGTCTTCTCAGGCTGAGCGGTCTGTCTCCCTTCATGGGCGACAGCGACAACGAGACTTTGTCCAACGTCACTTCGGCCTCCTGGGACTTTGAGGATGATGCCTTCGATGAAATCTCCGACACTGCCAAAGACTTCATCACCAGTCTGCTGAAGAAAGACATGAAGTAACGGACTCATGACACCAACTGTGGAAAAAAGTCACAAAACAAATGAGTCAAACATGTTGACCTGTTTTTGTCCATCAGAGCACGGCTGACCTGCGCTCAGTGTTTCGAACACCCGTGGCTGAAGCAGGACACCAACACCATGAAGGCCAAGAAGCTGTCGAAAGAGCGGATGAAGAAGTACATCCTGAGGAGGAAGTGGCAGGTAAACACGCAACATTCGTGTTGTTACAGGAAAACACTCTGAGGTGGTGTTTGTTTTACTGTCTCTTCTTCTGTGGTAGAAAACGGGTCATGCTGTGCGAGCCATCGGTCGCCTGTCATCCATGGCCATGATGGCTGGCGTCAGCGCCAAGAAGGGTTCACCCACTGAAGGTCTGAGCAGGCGGCTGTGTCCTCACATCTGCTATCAGATGATAAACTGAGAAACAAAACATTGTGTTCCGTCTCTTTTCAGAGGACAATCAGTTCCTGGAGTGTTTGGAGTACGAGCAGAAGACCGAGTGTAAACCCACTTTCAGCTCCGTCATCAAAGACGTGGAGGTGGTGGAGGGAAGCGCCGCTCGCTTCGACTGCAAGATAGAAGGTCACTGAATTCTTATATATAATTATATCAGGTGTGAGCAGAAGTTTCAGAGAACGAATGAAGAGAGCAGCAGATTTAAATCTAGTCTAAATTGTAAATTTAGATTTAGATTTAGGGCATTGAGCAGATGCTTTTGTCCAAAGCTACTTACAATAAGTACATTTGTCAAAAGAGAGAAACCACAACATATCACATTTTGCGGAAGATGGAGAGCGAGGTGAGCACCACTGAGGTAGATAAATAAAGATGAACAACATCTAGATCTCCCCCTGGTGTCTGGCTGCAGTATAGGTCATGAACCTCCTCCATGTTAGCAGATGGGACATGGACCAAACTAAAAAATCAGAGCAGGAGTTAAATAAATGTTTGTCAAAGATGTTTCTGCCTCTCCACTACTGCACAGAATCTGATTGTAATTTGAGTCTCTACCACAAGATGGCAGTGTTGGTTTCAGAGATATTTTAACTTCATCTATGGAGGAAGAGGAGACGAGTCATTGTCTTTATTTTGACAACTGGACTTTTTAAGGAAGTGTCCCCCTGATTGACAGTTCCATATTAAATCAGATGAACATGTCTTTGTTAACCAGCTACGTACCTCAAGCTTTTAAAGTAGCTGTAATTAAACCTCTGATAAAAAGATCCAGAGTCTGAGCTCATTACAGACCCACATCAAACCTTCATTTCTGAAATCCTAGAGGAAGCTGTTGCTAACCAGCTGTGTGACGACTCAGGTAGTAACGGTTTGTTGGAAAACTTTCAGTCAGGATGTGGAATCCATCACAGCTCAGAAACAGCTGTTAAAAGTCACTCATGACCTTTTCATGCCCTCAGATGATGGACTTGTCTCTGTCCTCGTCCTGTTGGATCTGAGTGCAGCGTTTGACACCATAGATCATAAGATCACAGAGACTAGAACAACATGAAGGGATCAGAGGAACATCAGACTGGTTTCAATCATATTTATCAGATAGATTTCAATTTGTTAACGTCAACAATGACACCCCCCCCCCGATGAATCTAATCACTTAGTTCAACTTCAGGAACGTCTCCAGAACATCGAGGCCTGGATGAGCCAGAACTTCTTACTTCTAATTCAGACTGAGGTCGTTGTCACTGACCCTCAACATCTCAGAGAATCACTGTCTGAACAGAGTCACCTTGGTGTCAGTCAGTCTCCAGTAAGTCTCCAGTTGGTCAAAGTGCTGCAGCAGAGTGCTGACAGGAAGTAGAAGGAGACATCTTATTACTCCTGTCTTCTCTACATCGGCTTCCTGTAAAATCCAGAATATCAAGATCCTGCTCCTCACATTTAAACCTTAACAATCAAACCTTCATACGTCAAAGAGCTGATAACACCTCATTATCCAGATAGATCAGTTCACTACCAAAACACAGGTTCTCCTGTGGTTCTCTCCTGTGGTTCTCTCCTGTGGTTCTCTCCTGTGGACGATTTGGTCTGAACAAACCAAATCGTCATGATCGTTGCAGTTGCACAACATGAACATCTGTCCTCGTCTTCTCTGTGTCTCCAGGTTTCCCTGATCCAGAGGTGGTGTGGTACAAAGACGAGCAGCCAATCAAAGAGACCCGACACTTTCAGATCGACTACGATGAAGACGGAAACTGCAGTCTGGTCATTTCAGAGGTCAGAGGTCAAATGACTCACAGACACACACAAATACACACACTGTCCTTCACTTTAACTTCCGTCTTTATCTTCCCGCTCACATGACCTGAACGCCGCCGCCCAGATGTTACTGTGAACACGTGTGAGCTCGGCTCTGACGTCACATACTCACTGTTCTCCTGACATGAACCTGCAGGTGTCGGGCGACGATGACGCCAAGTACATGGTGAAGGCGGTGAACAGTCTGGGGGAGGCGACCTGCACTGCTGAACTGCTGGTGGAGGTGATGGCAGGAGAGGAAGAGGAGGAGGAGGAGGAGGAGGAGTAAAGAAGTGACAGTCTTAACTCCCACGGGAAGAGGAGGCGGAGCTCATCAGCTAGACGGCCTATCAGACCTAAGCAGGAAAATAATGACCCATAAATGACAGGTTGTGATTGGAGGAGCAGGAGGGGGCGGGGTTTGACACACCAGGTTTCACTGTGGTTCTGACTGAAATCACTCACTGTTCACACGTTCATTAGAATAGAACTAGAACTCTGTTCACACCTTCATTAGAATAGAACCAGAACTCTGTTCACACGTTCATTAGAATAGAACCAGAACTCTGTTCACACCTTCATTAGAATAGAACCAGAACTCTGTTCACACCTTCATTAGAATAGAACCAGAACTCTGTNTTCATTAGAATAGAACCAGAACTCTGTTCACACCTTCATTAGAATAGAACCAGAACTCTGTTCACACCTTCATTAGAATAGAACCAGAACTCTGTTCACACCTTCATTAGAATAGAACCATAACACTGTTCACACCTTCATTAGAATAGAACCATAACACTGTTCATACGTTCATTAGAATAGAACTAGAACTCTGTTCACACCTTCATTAGAATAGAACCAGATCTCTGTTCACACCTTCATTAGAATAGAACCAGAACTCTGTTCATACGTTCATTAGAANTTCATTAGAATAGAACCAGATCTCTGTTCACACCTTCATTAGAATAGAACCAGAACTCTGTTCATACGTTCATTAGAATAGAACCAGAACTCTGTTCACACCTTCATTAGAATAGAACCAGAACTCTGTTCACACCTTCATTACACATAGAACCAGATCTCTGTTCATACGTTCATTAGAATAGAACCAGAACTCTGTTCACACGTTCATTAGAATAGAACTAGAACTCAGTTCATACGTTCATTAGAACTCAGTCTTCTATAAAGAGAGAAAACACAGTGACACTTTCAGACACTGAGGATGTGATTGTCGCAGAATTATGACATAAAATATCCCACAGTAAATTTTAAACGTTTATTTCACACTTTTTATAAGTGACCATCGGTTTTGCAGCACTTTTCTTGATGCATTGTGGGAAACGATGAGTAACTATCGGGTATAAAAACCTTCATTAAACATTCGGACTGAACTACAAAATGTATTTAGTGATAAGTGAGTGATTTCAGACTGTGTGTCGTCATGGTAACTGTGACGTGACTGACAGGTGTGGTGTACAGGTGGACCAACACAGACGGAGAAACACCGCCCTCTGGTGGAGAGTCCCTCTTTAATCATGAGCATGTCCGGCGTCGTAGCAAGAATTTAAAATAAGTGTTAGCGCCAAAATTTACCAACACAGAATCATTTTCCAGTCAGAATTTAGATTTGAGTTTTCTTCAGTGTCACAGGTGTGATTCCACCTGCACGGTGCTAAACTCCATTCCACCTGAAACCTGAACAAACCCCGCCCCCTCACATTCACGTCTGTTCACTCATCTATTTCTTTCTTAAAGACCTTTAACGAACATGTCACCACTTTTATGGAACGTAAAACATTAGACAGAAACGTTACCATGAAGAACACGAGACATGTTTCGTTTGATTTTCTATTAAGAACAAACATTTAAAAAACTGACGACTTCACATTGACCTTTAAAATGTCTGATTAGAATCGTGCAGTTCAAAGAATTGTGGGAGTTGTAGTTGTTCTCTACGAACAAACGGACCTCTGGTGTTAAAGATTTGAAAGACTCGTGTTTCTGAGGAAACACGTTGATGAAGAGTCGTCAAACACATGATGCTGCTGTCGGACAGCTCGGAGGCCATGGTTACAGACTGACGATAAATGACCCAGAGAAACGATGGTTCCTGTGAGTCTAGGTGAGGAAGAGGAGGGGTTGATGGAGGAATGATGAAGATGAACAGAGTCAGGTCACCGCAGAATAAAAGACAAAGAACAACAGAAGCTAATCATGTTAGCACTGCAGCTAATACACTGGTAACATCTGAAGATGATCCACGTGTTTGTGATAAACTACGACCGGATATTAAAAGGAACTAACGGAACTGAACTAAAAGCTCATCAGAGCAGCTGAGATGATAAAAATAGTTTTCAAGCGTCTGAATAAGAAAATAACAAACATTTGCTACCTATTAGCAGATATCTGTCCAGAGCTAGTTGATAAAGAAGCATCAACTCTCTCGCAGCAGAAGTTTTAATCCATTTAAAAGTTTGAACAACAAAAATACATTTGTACAGAATTTGTAAGTCAAATCAGATCAAATCAATCAGATGCTCCCTGTGATGAGCTGCAGCGTTAAAGTTCAGAGCACTAAGGTTCGTACGTTTGTTCAAGTGCGAGCTAGCAAACATTAGTTCATTAGTCTTTACTGTAAAACTACTTTTATCCATTAGAGTAAACTTGTTGGTTGAACAACGAATAAACACGTGAATTAGTCAGCGTTAAAACGGATGTAGCCCTGAAGCTAACGTCAGATAGAGAGCTCACTAACTTTAGCTAATGTCCCCCTGACTTTTCCCGAGGTTGAGATACTAACGTTTGTTAGCTGACGTTAGCACAGCAGCTAATTAACAGCTGTGAGGAGCAGGGGGTTTCTGGGTAATGTTGATGTGAGACGAAGATAAATTACAGCGAGGAGACGTTTGTGTCGAAGACTCAGCTGTTGACTTGAATGTTTTCAGCTGAGAACCGTTGACTCGTCAGTTTGTCTCTTAGCTTCTGTTTGAGCACTTTTCTTTTTGTCTCTTTGTAGTTAAACCAGAACCACGAAACAGCTAACAGCTAACAGCTAACAGCACATCTGCCTTACGACGTGAAACACTGACACTTTAAATGACGTCTGCTCAGAAGTGTTGGCTGTAAAATTCAGTTTATAATTGAATCATTTAAACTGAAGATCTCGAGATTCATCACCGAAAAACTTGTTCTCATTCATTCTAACGTCACTGAAAAATACTGAAATCATGAGATCTGATCGTAGTTGTGATGATGAGATCCTGTAAATGATTGGATAAAGTCTATAATTACTATACGATGTCATCAGTGTCTCTGATAATGACGTCTTTATGTCCTTCTGTGTCAGGACGCTAAGATTAGATTGAAGAATCATTCTGAATATCTCAATGTGATAAATCACATCTGTTATTTCCTTCACATCTGACATGAAATTTTAAAGAATGTTTCTGGAACAGATTTGATTTAATCATCTCTTTTGATTAAATCTGTAAATTCAAAACTTAAGGGGTCTAAACTTGTCCCCTGCGTGTGTTGGGTAGAAACCAGACGTGATTTAAACGTGTGTGTGGCGTGTTAGCGTGTCATATCTACACTAATGTCCAAGTCGTATCTTTCAAAAATGTTTTTGTCACATTCCAGCAGTCTGTGCTTTAATCCATTTCTTTAAAATCTTTTCAGGCTGATTCAGTTTTCAACCAAAAACCAAAGAAGCGTGTTCGAACATCACATGTGTGTGTTTGTGTGTGATCATCTGTTAACATACCTGGGCCTACTGTGTGTTTGATGGAAGATTTTTTTATTTTTAGACTTATTTAATGCACAGATTCATAATTATAATATTATCTTTTGTCTTGTTGAAGATTCAGCACTTAATTTGTCACAGTTATTACCCTCCCTACTAAACAACAGTGACTCACAGCGACTGATCTTGTGTTAGATGTATGTAGATTCTTTTATAGATATATATATATCAGTTTGATGAACCGCAGACGACATGTATGAGAACACTACGACTGTAGTTACTCACAGATACCAAATAAATT